TGACTGCTTTTCCAGAGGTTTTCTGAGTTCAATTCCCAGCAACCACATGGTGGCTCACAACCATTTGTAATGGGATCCGATGCCCTCTTCTGGTGTGTCTGAAGACAGCAACAGTGTACTCATATACATAAAATAAATAAATGAATCTTAAAATATATATATTATGTTATAAATATTGTAAGGGAAGCTTAATTTTTTAAAATTTAGTGTGTGTGTGTGTGTTTTCCCTGTATGTCTGTCTGTACACCACTTGTGTACCTGATGCACTAGAAGAAAAGGTTGTTGGATCCCCTGAAACTGAAGTTATATACGGTCGTGGGCCACTATATGGGTACTTTATTAAATCCAGTTCCTGAAGAAGAGGAACCATAACCGCGGAACCATCTCTCTAACCCTGAGTATTATATTCTTACTTGGCTCAGATATTTTATTCTTCTCCGTTCCACAAAAAGAAACCTGGCTTTTCCATCCCTAGCTTGCGCTGTGATATCTGGATCAGAGGTTTCATCCTCCCCTTCTTATGTGAAAACTCCCAGAGAGTATCACCAAGGCCCTTCGTGGCTGCTTATGGGGGTTGGTGTAAGCTCCTGCTTATGTCACTCCTAGAGTCTGTGCCGACCACCTTATGCTACATGAAGGTATCCTCCAGATCAGGCTCTACACAGAGGTTTCTCGTGCCCTCTATCTCTGGTCCCTCTCGGGAGACAGGAACCTCAAGTTTGGAGTCTGCACATGCTTTCTGCCTGTCCGTGTCTCGCACAGCTTCAGGGATGTCGCAGCCACTGAAGCAGGACTGTGAGACTTTGATTTCTTCTTCCTCTCTTGGTATAAGAGTTGTCTTCACAGAACCTCAACATCCATCCAATGGAGTGTCAGGAGGATGTTGGAGAGAGTAACCTTCACTTCCTCCTTTCGTACACGCGCCTGGATTACACTATGCCCTTCCACCTACCTCTACCCCCCTCCCCCTGGCTGTTTCTCCTATTGTCCATGGACTTTTTGTTCCCTATTTTCAGCTCAAACTCATGCCTGGCGCCATCTCAGTCAGTCTCATTCTTGGAAAATCCCTAACCTCCAAGGCAGTGTTCTATAGTGCATTTCTCTCGCCTTGCTTCGTGCCCTGCTTCGCGCTACAGTGCCCACTTGAACTTTGAGTTCCTGATTTACTTCTGGTTTTGGATTTCTGTCAGTCCGGAAACTAGAGCGTGTCTCCACATCCAAGCCCACAAGGGTGTACCTCCCGAAATGAGAATCAGCTCCCAAGACCTTGGTAATGAAGAAAGAGCCCCTTGTTGGGTCTGAGGATGCGGTTTAAGACAATGACCACACAATCCAAAGGGTTTCAGTAAGGGAAAAGTTTCCTTCCGCAAAAGGGTGCACACCCATGTCAAACCGAGCGCACAAGCACATCCAATGAGAGTCGTGCTTGTTTGTTTGTTTGGTTGGTTGGTTTTTAAGGGGTCCTGTGCCTCACCCTGGGTGCTCAGTCTATGGCCTCACATTCTTAGATGACACGGTTGATACCCAGAATGAAATTTTTTAGCAGAGAGTGCAACCGTGAGCACATATTTTGATTACTAAAAGTGTTAACCTTGGGGAAATTTGAATCCCCACCTAATGGCTTCTTTAACTCTTTCTCTTTTCCTTTCCTTTTTTAAAATTGTTTTTTAAAAATGGAATTATGCACTATTTAATCCTTTGATAGGAAAAACAGTACATTTCATTTATGTTGCTTTTGTGCAGCCCTGGCTGTCCTGGAACTTACTCTGAAGATCAGGCTGGCAAACTCAAGACATCTGCCTGCATCTGCCTCCCAAGTGCTGGAATTAAAGGCATGTGCCATCACACCTGGCAAGATATGCTTTTTAAACAAAACCTCAGTGTCTGCACAGTACACTTCCCTGTGAGTTATTGGTCAGAGAGGTCCTGGAAACTCCCAAAAGAACATAGTGGCCGTTGATCTTGGCTACACTCTACTATTAGATGGTAAGACACATCTACATTGTTGAAGGCATGATACACTTTGTTTTCAGGACAGAGACGTCAATCTGGAACTGACCTGAAAATTTCTTTTTGACTAGCTTTCACAGTACAGAGGGGGTGACGGGTGACCGCTGATGTAATAATGATGTGACTTTTATTAATTTTATGGGCGTAACCATAAGATCCTGGTTGAGTTCAAGGCCTGTTCCCCGGGAAGGAATTCATGCTTGATTCTGTAAACATGACCAAAAAGTCCATAGTAAGGGAGGTCATAGCTTCTAGGGAACCTTTTACTTTTTTTCTTCTAAACGCTCACATTCTTAAACTGCCTTCTAAACATTTATTTATACCCACAGACAACTGCTGATCTCAGCTTTGGCTAAAGACGCTTCTTTTTGCAGTGGGCAGCCGTTAATGCAGAGACTCATAAATGGTAAAAGAGCTGAGAGTAAGTACTAAATCCTAAATGATATTTGTCTCCACCCACAACCCTTCCCAAGGCTCAGGAAACATGGAGGAGAGAGCGTAGAAAGAGATAAGGAGCCAGGGGACTGATGGGGAGGAGCGCAGAGAAGTGCAGTCTTCTGGACGGGGTGGCTGCTCCCAATAACTCTCAGCAGCTGTGATCATCTGCGCATGATCAGAGCAGTCAGCATTCCAGCCGAGGTGAGGGAGGCGCTCTCAAGGCCCCACCCCTAGCTGAGAAGCTATTGGCTGTCAGTAGCAGCCGGGAAAGGTAGAGTTTTCTCTGGGTGTGTATGGCCTCTGGTAGGTTGCCCACCCTTCAGTAGATGGCTCCACACCCACGGGCACGTGGACAACACTAACTGGGCTCAGTGAGTCATTTTTAAACACAGAGGACGTGAAGGTGGGAGGGAGACGTGGAGGGGGGTGTGCGGCGTGGGGGGAGGGGAAAGAAGTAGAGAGTAGGGGTGGGTGTGACCAAGTTACACTGTATACGCTTATCAAATTGTCCAAGAATAATTTTTAAGTAAAAAAAAAATAAAGTAATAATATAAGTTTTATTGACATAGCCACTACAGAAGAGTTTGTGGATACGTGTACTAGACAAGCATTTCTTGCAGACAACTGCTTAAGTGTCTGTCAGGTGGCCCTGGAGCAGCTCATGCACAGGTTGCAGAAGAGGTGAGCACCAGACTAGACTAGTTGATGGCCCTGCCAAGCAGTGTGGATGCCGAAAAGGGGCCAAAGGAGTCGATGGGGACACGGGAACAACGGTACTTCCATTGAGCACTTTCCTACAAAGAGAACTTTATGGACTTTGCCCTTAGGCTGACCTTAGAAACTGAGCACAGCTATTGCTGATTTAGAAATTAGGAAACTGATATCTAATTTCTGCTTCAAAGACTTTCCTCTAAACCACCAGCTGGCAGTTAGGTTGATCTGCTGCCGGAGCCACAGCTGAATCCCTTAGCCTTTCGCAGAAGCCTGTCCTGTCCTGGGAACCTCTCCCTGCCTACCGACTGTGCCACTGGGGAGCTACCCCATGGGCTGTGGCTTCGCGGGCTCTGCCAGTTACCCAAGGAGCTGGCCAGGCCAGAGGGAATCTAAAGATAAGCCTTTTGTGGCTTACAAGGTAGGGTTTTGCTTTGAGAACCTGCTCTAAGAGTAATTCAGGGCCCTGGTGCCATTCCTATCTGGATCTGTCCCTTTTCAGTACCCACCTGGATTCCAAGGTCCCAGATGTCTGAATTTGGAGAAAACAAACAGCTTGTTCACCGGGCAGCTCCGACACTTTTCTGTTCTCTCCAAGCCTCCAGTCTCTGGCCTTTTGCAATACAACTCCAGCCTCAAAACCAAAAGCAGAGAAATCAACACCCAAGACCCTTGTTTTCCTTCCAAACCTACAGGCCTATTTTCACCTTTTCCCCCCTTAGTTTCTTGAGACCGAGTTTCTCGGTGTAGCCCAGGCTGGCCTGCAACTCACTCAGGCTGGCCTCAAACCTGGAGATCTGTCTGCCTCTGCCTCCCGAGTGCTGCGATTAAAGGCATGTGCCACCACACAAGTCATCTTCACCATTTCTCTCATCTCTTGCGTTCATAACGGTGAAAAAGCCAGTCTCTTCATGGGGCCCTACAGGACATCCTCAGAGTCAGAGACTCTATCCATTTTACTGTTCAGTCCCCCGGCCTCCAGTTCTCAGTTTCCACGCCTCTGCCCTCCTAAGCTGTGTCCCCTGCCCAGCCAAACTGCACTCTATGGGGCCAAAGTGAGACTTCTTGAAAGAGCTGGCTGTCTACACAGGCTGTCTTGACTTCCCTCCTCTGATCCACTTTTAACCCTTCATACTTAGCAATGCGGAAGCCCCCATCTCTGTTACAGAATGATGTGTTTGCTTTACTCAAGCCGTGGGGTGACTAATTCACTGTCCAGGGTTTGGTTTGAGTGAGCGAGTGTATGATTCAACGCTTAAAGGGAGAAAAGACAGTTTCATGGACTTGCCAAATAAGGCTTAAGCTACATGATCCGGCCGTCAAAGACTAGAGATTTGTACAGAAAAACGAGAAATGAGCATTACGACGATGAGATGGTCTCGTTTCTCCATTAATAGCGATGCAACGCATAAAAACTGAAGAGGAGACTGAGTAAACAAACTCCTTGAGGCCGGAGTCAGGAATTAGACTAAAATGACTAAATGGAGAAACAGATCAGTGTAAACCGGGAAGGTGCGATGGCGAGGACAGTCATGGCTCCACAGCAAGTTGACAGCGAGGCTAGGGTGGAAAAAAAGAAGGGCTCCTGTCTTTGCAGAGCAACATCCAAGGTGAACCAAAGAGGTCGAGAGCGCACCTGGGCCAAGGCGGGGGCGGGGCCAGACGAAGGACAGCCCCGCCCCAGCCCCGCCCCGAGCGGCCCGCCCTCGGGGGAGCCGGAAGCCGGGCGGAGGAGGTCGTGCGAAGCGGACCAGCGCCAGTCCTCGGCTGGGAAAGCCCGTCGCGGGCCCTCGCTGTCCCGCGGAGCCAGCGGCGAGCGCTCCGCGACGGGGCCGAGGGTCATGGCGACTCCGCGCCGCTGGCCACGGGTCGCCCCCGGGCCCGCGCTGGGATGGCTGCTTCTGCTGCTGAGCGCGCTGGCCCCGGGCCGCGCCTCCCCGCGCCTCCTCGACTTCCCGGCCCCGGTCTGCGCGCAGGAGGTGAGAGAAGCCGGGTGGAGCGAGGATGCCCCGGCCGTCGGGAGTGGTGGGGAGGACGGTGGAGGGTGGCGAAGAGGTGTCAGAGGGGCGGGAGTGGGAGGGCCGTCGGGAGTGCGAAGGCTGTCAAAGGTGCCGAGAGCAGTCCGCTGTGCGAAGGGGCGGACGGCCCAGGCTCCGGCGGGCCCCGGGAGGCTGAAAGTCCGCCCTAGGGCCTCGGAGGAGTTCCCGGGCATGGGCGCAGCGTGGAGGCGCGCTGGCAAGGACTCCGGGAGTGGAGTCGCGGTGACTGCGAGTTCTAGGGAAACTACGCGGGCAGCGATGTCACTAGTAGCGCGAGGCGGGGTGACGATTCCGTCCGGGCCTCGGAATTGGAGGCACGGACAGGAACCTAGAGAAGGGCCCTTGGCAGGAGCTGAACCAGTCTGGATTGGCCCCTAACTCCTTGCTCCCTGAGCAGTCATCCTCCAGCTCTCCCATGCTCAGGTGCCCCCAGCCTGGCCCCGGGGGTTCCCCACAGGTTGGCTAGTGCGGGCGAGCCGGGTGTTCAGGGGAATCAAATAGGATGTGGGTTGAAAGATGCCGTCCGTCCCATCTTTTTTCATCACCACCTGTGTCCCAGAGCCGAGAATGAGAATGCCAAAATTGAGTTAACATGTGTGGAAGTCTGACAGTTTGTTACTGCCAAGGAGGACCACCCCACCCCCACGCCCCGCTGCGCTCCTAGGAAACTGACACACCCCTGGCGGTTGAACCTTGCTGTTGAACCCGCTCCTTTGTCAAAAACAAAACAAAAAACAACGAACCTGTGCAAAACATAGTGCCCGTTCCACAAATAAACTTTCCTCCGTTTCTCCCCTTCAAGCCTTCCCTTCCCCCGCTGGTTTTTCTAGCCCCTTCCCCTCCACTTCCACCGCTGACCCCAGGAACTGTGTTCGGTAGCTGAGTCAGAGGATATGAAACAAACGGATAGTTCTCCGTATCTAATTTTGTAGATTTACCAAAAGAGGGTGGAGAGGGGGTGACTATTTTACTGGAAAAATGTGTTTTTTAAAAGTCTGAGGGCTGTTGGGAAATGTCATAGTGATTCCCATACTGGGCAAATCAGTGACATCTTCAGACAGGACAAGTGTCACAGCGTGGAGGATTGCTGTTTGTTTCTGGCTAGTCATTTGCCAAGGGCCTCCCAATCCAAGTAAACTGAAAGTAAAGAAATCTGCCTGGGACTCCAGAGTCCAGGGCCAAGTTGTCTTGGATGTAGGAACTATCTTGCAAGGCAGCCTGGAGCAAGAGTTCTTTGCACAGTGTGTGTGCAGAATCCAGGGAGGAGAAAATGACTTCCAGCTGGGCTGTTCTTCATTGAAAAGACATTTGAGCAGTTCGGATCCAGAGCGGGAGCCTCAGAAACATTTTGGTTAAAGTATTCATTCTCACTGGTGGAATGTGCCTGGGCCAGTGTCCCTAGGTGAGGCAGGGGCAAGTGGAAAAAAAGGGTGTCTGTGGAGCAGGAGAGGGAGTTGGGTGGGAGCAGAGCTAAAAAGACGGTGAGGTCTGCAGAAGCTCACCTAGACTCTCAGCTATAGTCCCTGTCATAAATCCTGGGGGTCTTTTGGAGTTTGGTTCGGTTTTATTTATTTATTTATTTAGAGTGTTTGTTTGTTTGTGTTTGTTTTGTTTTGTTTAGTTTTCCAGACAGAGTTTCTCTGATTAGCCCTGGCTGTCCTGGAACTCACTCTGTAGACCAGGCTGGCCTAAAACCTGGAGATCCACCTGCCTCTGCCTCCCAAGTATCAAGTCACTGTTTTTATTTTTAACTTAGATTTTGGAGTTTCTTGTTTGTTTTATGTATGTTTTGTCTTTATATATGTATGTGTACCACATGTATGCCCGGTGTCCGTGGAATTTAAGAGGACATTGGATCTTCTGGAATTGGAATTATAGATGGTTGTGAGCCACCATATGGGTGCTGGGTCTCACCTGGGCTCTCTGTAGGGTAAGTGCTCTTCTTTGCTGAGCCGTCCATGTTTCCAGCCCCCTAAAGGGGTTTGCCTTTATTTGGAAAGTTGCTGGCAGCCACGTTTCTCTCCTCTGTTGCCTCCTCGACAACTGGGCTCCACAGGCTGACAGCTTCCATTTCTGTTGGCTTTGAAGTCCTTTTTAAAAGACGCTTGAGCTGTGGGTGTGGCTCAGTGGGCTCTGGGTTCCATCCCTAGAACTGCACAGAGGAAAAACACTGTTCACACACACCACATACACCATACACATTCACACACACACACACACACACACATCATTCACACATATTGACATACATCACAAACTTACACCATACACACATACTCACAAGCACCATACACATACAAATACACTTGTGTACACATTCACACATACCATTCACACATATTGATACACCACACACACATATGCACACACATTGTTTAGTGGACATAGTATGCTTTATTTCCATCATGAGAGGACTGGATGAGACAGCTCGAAGGGAACAGGCCACTTTCACTTGAAAATTGCTTTAGCAGTCAGTGACTCCCTCCTGTGACCGGAAGGAAGCTTCCTCACACCTGCTCTGTTCCCTGTTTCCTGCTGCCAGCATTAGAGGCTTGGTGAATATGTGTGGCATGAAGTAAAAAAAAAACTAGAAGGACGAAGGAAGGGTCCCCTGGTTTTCAAGCAGTGGGAAGCTGAGGCCGTTGCACTTGTTTGGGCTGCCTGGAATTAGCACCTCAAAACCCGGATGACTGTAATGTCCCCACAGAAACCAACCCTGAGGACACCAGAAGAGATCCTAGTTCCAGGGATATTTTTGTTGTTGTTGTTGTTGGCCTGCCTAGGAGGCTTCTTAGTTCCCCATTAACTGAGGAAGCCCTGCAAGCAGCACCCGGGAGTTCGTCAGCATGAATGCTCACACCGTTCACAGACAGGATATATGTTACCATTACCAGTTCGTTTTCCTGAGTGCTTGTGGTTTTGACTTGTGGTAGAGTGACTGTTTGGCATCGCCCTTTTGTCTTGTGGTTGCCGGAAGCTGTGCTCAGCCCTTCCACTCTTCCCTAAAGTTAAAAAGTGTTCCGAGGGTGCTCCTCTGGTGGACATGGTCCTGTAGGCAAGGCTGCAGTGCCAGTGATGTAATCAGCAGGAGCTGGTCCTGCTCAAGGGTTGGAACAGCCCTCACCCTGGCTACCTTTGTCAGGTACTCTGCCATCCGAAGACGTTAGCATCGATTAACAAGGGTCAGAGAAGAGCTTCGTGCTCAGTGAGAAGAGCCGGCCCAGCCAAGCCTCCCCATCTCCTGTTCTGGAGCCCTGTGTCCTCTCCTCCCAGGTTGTGGAGAGGGCCTCCACATGGCTCTGTCTGTGAAGGCCTCAGCCTGTGTACACTGGGGTGCTCCACCAACCTGTGTCAGGCAGTTGGTAATGTTTGCTCAATGCCCAGAGCTAAACACTTCTTTTAATTATCCTGCTACGAGTACAGAGGAAAGGTCTATGTGTTGTAAACATACCTCCTTTACTGGAGGTGGTATACCAGTGCTGGGCATGGTTCTGGAGCAAAGCAGGCTTACAGTAGCTTGGGAACCTGGAGCCACCCATCCTGTGCCACAGGTGTGAGTCGCCTAACAGTGGAGACATGTTCTGAGATGTGTCTTGGTAGGTGACTTAATCCTTGTGTGAACATCGCAGAGTACACACATACACAGACCTGGATGGTATCATCAGTGGCTTCATGCAGCCTCCAAAGATGTGGTAATCAGACATGTAAGGCTGCTGCCAGCATTACAGTATACAGTGAACTTTTAAAGTATAGGCGTATGCTTAAAATAATGATAAAAAGGGTAGTTCCGTAAATATTAGCTGCTGACACGGTCTCTTCATAATTCTGAATATTCTCTGATTTCTACAATGCTGTTTATGAGGACGTAGCTGATAAATGATATTCTGGTTGGTTGGTTGGTTGGTTGGTTGGTTGGTTGGTTGGAAGGTTGGTTGGTTGGTTTTGTTGTTTTTTAAGAGGGTTTCTCTCTGTAGACCAGGCTGGCCTTGAACAGAGCACCACCAGGGAGACACTGAGGTTTTTGTTTAAAAGAGCATATCTTGCACTCACCTTTAATCCTAGCACTCAGGAGGCAGAGGCAGGAGAATCTCTGAGTTTGAGGCCAGCCTGGTCTACAGAGCAAGTATACAACAGACCTATACAGAGAAACCCTGTCTACACACACACACACACACACACACACACACACAAACTCTACTGCCCAGTGATAAGAGTCCTTCTGTTTGAGGGAATGAGTGGTTGGTTGGTGTTGGTGTCTGGGGAACGCAGGGGTGAGCATGATTGTATGTGTGCTGTTGGGATTGAACCCAGGCTGTACATGTCCTCAAACATTTCCTAGTGAACTATCCCTTAGTCCTAAGAATAGGAATTCTGTTTTTGTTGTTGTTGTTGTTTTATTTTCAAGACAGGGTTTCTCTGTGTAGCCCTGGCTGTCCTGGAACTCACTCTGTAGATCAGGCTGGCCTCGAACTCAGAAATCCACCTGTCTCTGCCCCTGAGGTGCTGGGATTACAGGCCTGTGCCACCACCGCCCGGCCAAGAATAGGAATTCTGAAAGGATTAAGGAGGCAGCTGGGGAGGAAATTATGGGCAGAACAAGATCTGTATTAGTAGTGTCCAAAGATGATACCAAATGCATTTTATATTATTAAGAAGATTACAGGAGCTGTTGCTGATTCAGTGGATAAAGGCACTGACCTCCATGCCTGCCAACCTGAGTTCAATCCCTGTGACCAACAAAGTGAAAGGAAAACCAACTTCTTCTTTTTTTAAAAAAATTATTTATTTTATTTATATGGATACACTACAGCTGTCTTCAGACACACCAGAAGAGGGCATCAGATCCCATTACAGATGGTTGTGAGCCACCATGTGGTTGCTGGGAATTGAACTCAGGACCTCTGGAAGAGCAGTCAGTGCTCTTAACTGCTGAGCCATCTCTCCAGCCCAAGAACCAACTTCTGAAAGTCATCTTCCAGCCTCTGTGTGTGTGCCTACCTGCATCCACACACAATAAATACAAATGAAAAAAAAAGTTGCAGGGGCTGAGGCACTTCGTGGGTAAATGCTTGCTAAGCAAGCATAAAGGCCAGACGGAGTTCAGATTGCTACCGACCACAAGCCAGGTGTAGCAGCTCTGCCAATCGCCAGTGTCAGAGGACAGAAACAAGTGGGTCCCAAGGACTCACTGGCCAGCTTAGACCAATGAGTTCCAAATTCAGTGAGAGACCTTGTCTCAAAAGAATAAGGTAGAGAGAGTAAGACCCTGTCTAATAACAACAAGAAAAGGTAGAGAAGTTACTGGGGAAGGCATTGTGACCTCAACCTCTGGTTTCCACACACCTGCACACATGTGCATGTGCACACCCCAACATCAGTGTAAATTCTACATCAAAATTAAATTATAAGTAAAAAATAAACAGGGGCTGAAGAGATAGTTCAGTGGTTAAAGATACTGACTGCTCTTCCAGAGGACCAGGGTTCAATTCCCAGCAACTATATGGTGGCTCACAACTGTTTATAACTCTAGTTTCAAGAAGTCCTACTTCCTTCTCTTAACTTCCGCTGGCATAGCCGGGCAGTGGTGGCACACACCTTTAATCCCAGCACTTGAGAGGCAGAGGCAGGCGGATTTCTGAGTTCGAGGCCAGCCTGGTCTACAGAGTGAGTTCCAGGACAGCCAGGGCTATACAGAGAAACCCTGTCTCGGAAAAAAAAAACAAAAACAAAAAACGAAAAAAACAAAAGAAAACAAACAAACAAAAAAAAACTTCTGCTGGCATGCATATGGCACACAGGTATACATACAGGCAAAACACCCACACATATAAAATAATTTGTTTTTAATTTTAAAGAAAAATATGTTCTTCCCCAAATAATATTCTCATTTGCTTATCTCATTTTTAAATCTTTTGTTTAGATTAAAATCATAGTATTTCATCTTTAAATTCATTTTTATCAAGTAATGTAGGGTTCCTTTTTAAAAATTGTACTGGGATATTTAAAACAGCTCCCTATGTCGCACCCAAACCTTCCCCCCAAAGGCAGACACTTACAATGGACCTGCTTGCTTCTTTTGACACCTACGTTTTTGCAATGTGCCTTTTTACTTGCCTCTGTAACAGGAACCATCACTTGCTCCTGATCTCTCCTTTCCCATTACGTTTGTATTGTGGTTTGATTTTCAACTTCCTATTGTTACAGCAAGGCAGCTGTCATCTCTGGGGAGGCAAGAGATGCACTTCAATAAACATTCTTCTGCTAGTTCCTCCCCTCTTCCCTTCACAGATGATCACACATCCAACTCTCAGCAGGCAAGACTGAAACTGTAGCACTTGAAGTATCAAGCTATTTCTGTAAGTTGTAGCAAGCTTGCCAGCCAAGTGTTTCCAAACTCCTCCTACTTCCTCCTCTTGTTAGGATAGGTACCATCTTGTCTTGGATTTTAAGTAGCTAGTGATGGGTAACAGGGAGTTACCCCAGTGGAATACAGCTGCCTGTTGTTTCTGTAAGAGTTGCCACTCTCAGCCGGGCAGTGGTGGCGCACGCCTTTAATCCCAGCACTTGGGAGGCAGAGGCAGGCGGATTTCTGAGTTCGAGGCCAGCCTGGTCTACAGAGTGAGTTCCAGGACAGCCAGGACTACACAGAGAAACCTTGTCTCGAAAAAAAACCAAAAAAAAGAGTTGCCACTCTCAAGACCAGTTTCTGTCCTCTGTCTCCCAGTTTACAGGAGTGCTAGATGGGACAAGAGGAGCAGGCTCCTGGGAGTTCATCTCAGAACATAGTATGGTGTGTGTCTGTCGGAGTGAGCAGAGACATCAAGATGGTTCTTGTTTTAAATCTACAAGGACCATTTGGCAGGCTGTGATGTTAGCCCAGGGGCAGGGAAGGACAGTTAATCACAAAGAACTGGGACAGGTACATGAAGTCTGGACCCCAGGAGCATGTGAACTAGTGTCCCAAACAGGTAGAAAGGACACAGATGAAATAGCAGACTCAGAATGGATCCTGGCATGACATCAGGACCATCCTGTGGCCTATTTTATGAATGAATCCTGGGGCATTACATCACCCTGAGTCCTGCACTCTGCTCCCTCCAGAGAGGCAGCTGTCAATCAGTGTCCATCCTACACACAGTGTGTTTTTGTGCACCCATCATCTAGGTCTGGCCTCAGCATCACACCAGCCTCATGGGATGGCGTGGGCCAATCTAGGTAGTTCAGGCCCTGAAGTGGCAGAGCCTGAATTTCAGAGCTTCCTTGCTACTTTGCCAGCACTGACTGGAGGTCATTCCTTAGAGTCCCAGACTCCAGCTCTAGAGGATGTCCCCTATCACTTGTGACAGATATTGGCAGGGAGGTGGCTGTAAGGGCACTGTTGCCAGTGAGCAATACACAATGAGTCAGGGTTTCATGCGCTGCATACTGACTAGTCAGAGTTCTGTGCATTTCCTAAATTGTCGGCCAGTCCAAGAACACCAGCCCCGTGTTTACAGTGTGTGTGAAGCAGAAGTGAGAGGTGAAGGTTCTGCTTCATCATCTCCCATATCCACATCCTGCCCTGGGTCTTTACTCCTATGGTTAGTCTAATAACAACAGTGTGAAGTTGGTGTTAGACTATTCTAATTTTATGTTGAAGAAATTGAGGCTTTGAGTAAGGTGGTTCAACCCAGGCTGTGAGGGTAGGGTATATGGTGTGTGTGTGTGTGTGTGTGTGTGTGTGTGTGTGTGAGAGAGAGAGAGAGAGAGAGAGAGAGAGAGAGAGACCCAGAACAGTTATTTAAACTTTTCCTAATGACTTTACAGGGGCTTAGTATATGTTTTATGACTGATCTGCAGCAGGAATTATAAGTTTGATGCTTCACCTCTCAGGAAAATTGGAAACCTCAGAATTTAAAGACCTTCTTCACCAGAAAACCCCTCTCTGTTTTGTTTTTATAGTTTGTTTTTGTTTTTATTATTATTTCTTTTTACTATTTAAATTCCCAACCCATAACAGTTACTCAAAAAGCCTTCAATTCTAGCCTTGCTTGGCAGCCCTTGCCTTTAGTCCCAGCACTCAGGAAAGTAGACACAAGCTATTCTCTGTGAGTTCTAGGTCAGCCAAGTCTAGGCTATACTGTGTACTGTGAGACCCTGTCCCCAGAAGAAGCCAAAACAAACAAACAAACAAAAAGATAAAAAGCCTCCAGTTCTGCTTGCTGTCTGCCCACCACTCACCTCCTTGGCTGGACAAAGAGGGAAGAAAGTGCACAAGACTTTTGGCTACTTGGCAGCAGAGCAGCTCCCAAATGTGAGCCATGAGGGAGACGGGGCTGTGTGAGCCTCGGCTGTGTGAGCTGCTCTCAGGGGCCTCAGCTGGGCCACTGCAAGCCTGGTCTTTCCTCATCTGTAATCAACACTTCCTTTCTTCCCACAGGGGCTGAGCTGCAGAGTTGAGAAGAGTAAGTCCTCTTTTTTGTTCCATTTATTGCCTCAGTTAATACAGTGAGGGCCTCCCGCTGACTTCCACAGGACAGCCTCCTGTGTGCTGTCTCTGGATGGGGGTTGTCGCTGTCAGCTGGGCCTTCTTGTTATAGGCCCCGTGCTCTGTGAGGAAAACTTTCATTCATTATGCAAAATGTAGGCCAGTGCCCCCCCCTCCACTCCCCATCTGGGTTTTGAATGCTGCCAGGGGTGGTACCTTAGTGCACCTAACTATGCCTGTCCTACTTAGCTTGTCACAGGATCAATGGTGCTGGCTTGGCTTTGGGGGGGGGGTTGTTGGTTTATTTGTTTGTTTACCTGTTTGTTTTTTGTCTGTGAGAAGTTTTTCCCTATGCTGGATATAGAACCCATTGCTTAGACTTAGACAAACTCTCACCTCTGAGCCACAATCCCAGACCCTGGGTTTTTGTTTTTTGTTTTTGGATGAGGCACATACTTCAAGTGTCAGTGCTAATTAGAGGCCATGACAAACGAAAATAAGGAAGCTCCCACTGCGCTCTCCCTCCTGTGCCCCTATTTCCAATGGCTGTCTCTTTTCAAAACCCTTCCCCCCAAAGGTCCTTTGGTTCTTTGCTCGCAGAGCTTTGTGGGCATCTCAGACCAGCATTAGAAAAGAGCAGGCTGGGGCGAGAGCTTGCCAGGGCCACAGTTGGAAGGCTGAGAACAGCTGCAGACCTTGAACCTTGTTGTTACTCACAGCAGGTCTCTGCACCCTCTAAGCAGATCTCGGGGTCTTGGCCAGCGGGTATGATAGTTGCTCTCCTCAACAGGCACTTGCCTGGATGACAGCTGGATCCACCCTCGAAACCTGACCCCGTCCTCCCCAAAAAACATCTATACCAATCTGAGCATTTCCTCTACCCGGCATGGAGAATTAGTCCCTGTGTTGCATGTTGAGTGGACCCTGCAGACAGATGGTGAGTGGCCACATCCGCCAGCCCCTGGGTTTGCCTTTGGGAGGAGACCACTGCTGAGTCCTGTTTGGTCCTGGGAGGCTCCATCACTTACACACTGAGAACTTTTCCAGCGTTCGATGTGTGTATTCTATAGAATATCTTCTGTTCATAATCTTTATGAAAGGCCTTCCCTTGCATCAACTTTTTATTACATGGGAGGGAAAAGGTAAGTGGTTAATTTTATAAATAATTCCAAATATTTGGTACAAAAAAAAATGGTAGCAGTTTTCCTGCTGCTTTTTCTCTTAGCTGAGGAGCCAGAACTTTTCAAAACATACTCCAAACCTCTTTAGGGATGATTAACTGCAGAATTTCTGAACAGAGCCAGCCCCAGATCTGTGAAGGGGCAACAGCAAGTGCTCTCTGTGGGTTTCTAGCTGGTGTTCTAGATGACAGCTCCAGCAGCCTCTGGGAGGAGGAACATGCAGCTGCTGTTAGCACTATGGCCTGTCGCCAGGGCTCTGACCACAGGGCTGCAGAGGCTTTACTGCTTCCTGCTACAGGCTGTCCCTTGTCCCACTAGGAGGTTCTTTCTGCAAGGCCTAAGAGGGTGGAAGTGGGGAGTTAGGTAACAGATGGGGAAGAGCCACACCCTGGCAGGGGGTTGGTCTGCATCTGTGTTCCCCTTTCCTTCCTGGCCTGCAGCCAGCATCCTGTACCTCGAGGGTGCAGAGCTGTCCATCCTGCAGCTGAGCACCAATGAGCAGCTGTGTGTCAAGTTCCAGTTTCTGTCCAAGCTGCAGCATCATCGGAAGCGGGTAAGAAGACAGCTTCACCTAAGTGACACCAATACAGGCTTCTGTCCCAAAGGTACACCTAACTGAAAGGATGAGTTCAAGATGGCAGCCTGTTATGAGCCATAGCGAGGGACAGAGCCTGGCACACCTGCTTCTTCTTATTCCTCCCACTTGACAAAGGCACTCTATAAGGGTGGTTCGATCTTGTGCGTGCATGCGTGTGTGCGTGTGTATGTGTGTGCATGCAAATGGCATGGCCATCTACTAGTAGAATTTTTAAACAGAAAAGACAAAGACAGCATGCCTCTAATGTGAGATTCTGTGGTTACCCTTTTTTTATCCTTTTCTTTGTTTGCTTGTTGGCTGATTATGGGGAGGTGTGACACTGGGACTTTGCACACAATGGGTGAAGGCGTTGTATGACCCATCCCATTGCCTCTCTTCCTCAGTGGCGGTTTTCCTTCAGCCATTTTGTGGTAGATCCTGGCCAGGAGTATGAAGTGACTGTTCACCACCTGCCCAAGCCCAATCCCTATGGGGACCCAAACCACAAGTCTAAGATCATCCTTGTGCCTGGTAAGTGCCCTTCCAAACATCCACAGTGGCTGCAGATCCAGGGACTGAGTGTGCCTCCAGCCGAGGCCTTTATGTCTTCAAGGCAGAGTTTGTCCTCTGCTGTATGGAGAGACCCCAGAATATGTTGGCAACTCCCTCTGAGCAGGAAAGTAGCAAGAAATGGTATTTTCCATCCCAAGAAAATAAAAGATCCCTGAAGGGTGGTGGCCTATGTACTCAGCATGGACAGTTTCCCTCAGTTTGCTCACTTCCCCTGTATCCCACCTGCCTTTGACTAACACCCACCCTACATATCCTCCTGTTCTGGCCCACCAGTCCATGCTATTTGAGATTGCCAACTCACCTCTTAGGAGCCATCAGTTCTTCCGGGTCACTTTCTGTCTCTGCGTTTCCCAGAACCTTGGCCATTGCTGACATCATTTCTCATTGCACCTAGTAGGTGGTCAGGAAATGTTGTCTTTTGTTTTATTGGTGGCTGTGGAGAAGGAACTTGGAACCTCAGCACACACACTGGGACGTTAGCCACATCCCAGCCCAAGAAACGCTTGTTAAAGATGGCAGTGACTCCCCACCCTAAAGCACACACACACACACACACACACACACACACACACACACACACGTGTGCTCACCTCCTTCTCACATATCCGTACTCTGGCATGTTTCCAGATGCCGCCAGTTTGCTTTTGCTGATGTTCTCTGTAAAAGTGTCTTTCATTCACCAGACATAAATACTGCCTCTGTCTGCTGACCTGGAAGCTTCTAGCCTTAGTACCTTCTAATATAGGCCTAGCATGTTTTCTGCCTCTGAGACTTTCTGTTGGATAAGCTCATCCTTTCTTGAGATTTCTAATCTCTGGCTCAACAGATTCAACTCAGCTGCTGTGGCTCAAACTCCTCTCCAAGCTGACTGATTGAATCTGGCTTCTCTCTCTACCTCCTTTTGCTCTGCTTGGCCTCAAACTAACTCTGGCACTCTGCTCTGACCTTCTGTCTTCACCTCTGTGTTGCTTATCTCTCTGCAGCCTGTCTCTGTACCGCTGTCCCAGTAGAACTGCTTCCTTTCCTCTCTCTGCACTGCTCTCTTAAGTAGCTTCCTTTATCTCTCATTTCTTATGAGAGTTAGGCAGCTCCTATTCCACCAAATCTCTCTGATTCATCTCTTTGTCTGTCACTCAGTTAGACATCTCTTTAAAACATAGTTGCTTCCTTCTACAAACTAACTTTACCTTCATTGTTTGAAATTAAAGCTGTGCACTAAGGGCTGAGTCACACCACAACTAGAAACAGTTTATTTTAGTAAATAACACAATCTCAGAGTTCACAGTGGGATCAAATATCCTGCAATACTCTTCTGTAGAATTAATTTGCCAAAAGCAGTGGTTTCCACTGTGTATGCAGGGCCCAGGACATCACACACAGGAGGACTCAATAAGCACTTACTAAAGAACTGCTCTCCCTCCCTCCCCTACCCCTGGGGACTTGTTAGAAACACTAATTCCAAATGCTCAGTAGCAAGGTGCTTGTCTGGGTTTGATCCACAGTTCCACAGAAAAAAGGAAAAGAAAATGAATGAATAAATAAATGCTGACTCTTGCCGCCTGCCCAGGGCTCCTGAGTGAGAACCTAGTAATGAGCAGGGAGAAGTCAGAGAGGCTGCAGTGGGGGGCAGAGAGAGGCTGCAGTGGGGGGCAGAGAGAGGCTGCAGTGGGGGGCAGAAGGGCTTCCGAAGTATAGGGGGCAAGGTTAAAGATGGCAAGCTCTGAGCTCAGGAAGAATATGCCTGAGTCAGGAGGGATTCCTAAAAGAAGAAGGTGTGACTGCCAGCCAGGTTGCCCCAGTTTGATGGGATTTCTGGCCAGGGGCAGCTGGCTAGGCCTGGAACAGGCTGTGAAGGTGTGTCTTTGAACAGGCTCCCCAGATGCATAACAGTCTTGCCCCTCTCCCCCATGTCAAAAATCTGGAAGAACAGGCTGGGTGTGATGGCTCACACCTTTAATCCCAGCACTTGGGAGGCAGAGGCAGGTGGATCCTTGTGAGTTTGAGGTCAGCCTGGTCTACAGAGTGAGTTCCAGGACAACCAGGGATATGTAGAGTAACCCTGTCTCAGGAAAAATAAAAGCACTAAAATCTGTAAGAACAAACTTCCTAAAGGCAGAGACTTACTGATTTCTCTTTTATCGGGGTTGGCAGACTGTGAGGACACCAAGATGAAGGTGACTACATCATGTGTGAGCTCAGGTAAGTGGCTGGCCTGGGGGACCTTGACCTGGGCACATTAACTTGTACATAGTAAAGTTGAATGTGTGTGCACATGAACTTGCACATAGTAGTGTAAATTGGGTATGTGCACAACTGCATGCTGGCCCATATGATGCACATGCTCATGGAGACACATACCCTCCTCACTTCCACCCTCCACTGCCCCCTTTCAGGCAGCCTTTGGGATCCTAACATCACTGTGCAGACCTTGGACACACAGCATCTGCAAGTGGACTTCACCCTGTGGAATGAATCCACCCCCTACCAGATCCTGCTGGAAAGTTTTCCGGGCTCAGAGAACCAAAGATGCTTTGATAAAACGAAACACAAATCTGCGGTACTTGTATTTCTTACCCCCTCAGACATAGATTAAAATATCACTCAAATCCTTAACTTTCCTCCATACTGGTCCTAGCTAACCCTATTGCTAGAGCCCAACCCGGACTCAGGCTCACTTGGCAGCTGCCTTTCCCTCTCAGGAAGTAGAGAGCTCTGGTGTCTGCAGTTTGTTGAAAATAATAGTTCATGAACATAGGTAAAATGGTTGAGGGAGCGTCAGACTTTAAATCTAAATACAGAAGTCTAAGTTCTCTTTTTACTAACTCTTGAAGTGAAGTTCATATTAAATTGCAAATTGAAAGAAGTAGAAAAAAGTCTCTCCAGAGCCTTCTCCCCTGTCTCCTCCCAGGAGGGAGAAGTAGGTTTAAGCTAGTCATAAGGTATTTAGTTGTTAACTAAAATTTTATTTTATCCCAGAAATCTAGTAGGGATTTGGCTTAATAAACTCAGTTGATTAGTATTCAGTACATGTAAGAGAAAGTCTTTGTTTGTTTGTTTGTTTGTTTGTTTGTTTGTTTTTCAAGACAGGGTTTCTCTGTGTAGTCCTGGCTGTCCTGGAACTCACTCTGTAGACCAGGCTGGCCTCGAACTCAGAAATCTGCCTGCCTCTGCCTCCCAAGTGCTGGGATTAAGGTGTGTGCCACCACCGCCCTGCTAAGTTTTGTTACTTTTTATATTTTCCTAATAGTTATCTGTTTTGTTACTCTCTATGTTTTCCTGATAGTTACCTGTTTTGTTACTTTTTATATTTTCCGGATAGTTACCTGGTTTGTTACTTTTTGTGTTTTCCTGATAGTTACCTATTTTGTTACTTTTTATTTTTTCCTGATAGCTACCTGTTTCCAGGTCATCTCATCTGTTACTGACTCAGTTGGTAAAGCAGAGCTTTCTCCCAGCCCACTGTCCCACCCATGTTCTCCACACTCTATCCAGCCCATGGTCTCAACACCTCCACAGTCTTCCTGGCCTCTTTATTTGGCTGTGTTTATTCTACTTTCTCAAAACTTGTTTTGAAATTTAAAAATAAATGAGGGCATTTATTTAAGGAAAATAGATGAGGCCGGGTGAGAGCGGAGAGTGTGTTGTGCACCCTGTTCTCCTGCTGCATATACACTGGTTGGAGCTCCAAGACCCAGCAGCCAGAGCAAAGAGGGAAATGCCCACTACTAAATGTGCTTATAAGTTCACCACGGGCTAGTCACTCTGCAGAAATACCAGTTTTTCTGGACCAGAAATCAGGAAAACATTTCTCCCTCTGGCATTTATAAGGGAGGCACTGGTCCACAAAGGACCACTTTCCCAGCAGACATCACCAGGGTCTTACCCAGCTAACTTCTTCCACCCCTCTCTCCAGCCCAGACAAGAGGAATTCCACCAGCGAGCCAATGTCACATTCCCTGTAAGCAAGTCTACCTGGTGCTGCCGCCACCGCATTCAGGTGAGTCGGGAGAGTGGTAGGAGAGCAGGAGCAGGTAGCCTTCCATTCAGAGGATAAGGCAGCCAATGGGTAGCTCCACCACTACTGCTAGGAGCTCTGGCTGAATCAACACCTTTCTGGCTTTCTCCTGCTGGTCCTCACAGCCTGGTAAGGGCTTTACCCTTTTGTATGGGTGGGAGACCTTATTGAAAAATAAATAGGGTAGACGGGGTTGGGATAGAGTCTTACTGTATTTCCCAGACTAGCCTGAGGAGACCACCTTGGCTTGCAAAGAAGCTGGGATATAGGTGTACACCACCACATGCTGTTCAACAGTCACGTGGAGATCTGAGCCTGGCCAAGCAGGATCTGTTACACACAACGTGCTTCTTTTGCCCTGAGGGTATGGGTTGGCATCTTTTTCACCCTTCTGCTCCCCCAGGTCCAGCCTTTCTTCAACAGCTGCCTAAATGACTGCTTGAGACATGCTGTGACTGTGCCCTGCCCAGTAATCTCAGAGGTCCCAGGTAGGAGAGGAAGAGTCATCCTTGGTGTGTGTGTGGGGGGGGGGGTGGGTAAGATGCTGTCCGCTGGAGAGGAGTCCTGACTGTGGAGAGAGAGAGGTTTAGTTAGAGCTGCTGGTACCCACGGTGGAGTGCAGGTAACACCCCTGGGTTGGCCTCCTCAATGCCTTTCACTAGCTCTGCACCCATAGGCAGAGGACTTAGCCTTTCTTATCAACTCAGTTTCCTTGGCCAAAAAAATGAGATCGTTATCCTCAGAGAGTTAGGACTATGTACCATGCATGGAAGTACTTTAACATGCCAAGTTCAAATATGAGAAAGTCAAGGCACAGGTATTCATTTCCCATGTTCACATACCAAAGCCATAACCCCAGGTTTCTACTTGAGCTTGTAGGAGTTGGCAGCCACATGTCCCTGGCTCTCTGCTTCTGTCACATGCAGATCAGATAGGGGCCAATGTGACACTGTGGTGGAAGGAGCCCTGGCCCCCATGGGTACAGTGGATTCTCTTAGAGCTTTGGCTGAAGGGGCTCCATGGAGAAAGCTACATCAAGTGTAGCTATGTCTGTCTGCAGAGTTAAGGCTGTCATTGGTATCTAATGGGTGAAGGTCATCAGTGGGTATCTCTGATCAGTTAAGGCCATTGGTGGGCATTTGTGACTTGTGTGATTGTCAATCATTAAGACTAACCCTGTCCCTGCTTCCTTTTATTCCTTTTATACAGTTCCCATGCCAGGTAAGTCCTTCCTTCAGTCGGGGTCATTCCCAAGGGAACCCATGAGGTCCCAGCTGATCCCTGGGCCAGTCCCCAAGGCATACTGCATGCACAGCTAGCCAAAAGGTGAAATCATCAGTGTAGCCTGGTATAGGCCATAGCTGACAGAGCCTGGGCTGGGGGTGTGGGGCCCCTGCCCAGACTCACTTCGCTCTGTTAGTTACAGACTACATTCCCCTCTGGGTATATGGCCTCATCACACTCATCGCCATTCTGCTGGTGGGCTCTGTCATCCTGCTGGTCATCTGCATGACCTGGAGGCTTGCTGGTAAGTAGTACTCCGTTGCTTCCCTGTTCCGCCCTGGAATTAAAGGCTAGCTCCATGTGAGAGTTTTCAGAGTCTCGGGCTTCTCTCTGGCAAAATGGCAGTAATAATGCTATGCGCATCATAAGACTGTGTGAGGGTTAAAGGAAGTAATGAACGAGAAGTCTTTCCTCAGAACCAGACACATGGTGTTTGTTCAAGGCTGTTCACTACAGTGATTTTTTTTGTCAAAGTTAGTATTTCTAAAGTCAACAGGTTGGAAGGAACTAGTGTGGAATTTCCCTGCATCAGCCATGATCAGTCAAGCAACAGCCTACACAACTTCATCCCCAAGTCCCCAGCCTTTGGGTCTGAGGTCAGAGAGGACTCTGAGGGACAGCAGTGTGTGGTTGAAAAGGCTCAGGCTCCTGATCCTGACCTCACAAGGGAAGACCCTCACTCTTCACCAGCTTGATAGTCACAGAAGACTTAATCTTAGATTCCATTTCCTTTTTGGTAAAAAGGGGTACTACGGCCTCCAAGAGCCTAGAGTAACTGTTCATTCCCTGCCTATTCTTCCACTGGCTGAGTTTTAACAGGGAGAAAGTGTGTTGACCTGGCTTTCCCTGTGCTGTGATAGATTGTATCTTTGGCCATCTGGGAAACCTGCTTCTATAGCTGATGTTCATTCAGACCATGGTTTATCTTGAATTGTGGGGTCCACAGATTCTGGGGAGGGTCACATGACATCTCATGCTGATGCTGAATCATGTCCCAGCTGCTATTACGTTTTCTATTACTCCCTTGAGTGTCCCCACCACAGGGAAGACAACAGGAGAAAACTCACTCGCTAGTCATTAGAGTATCTTTGACAGTTCTGGGCAAAGGCCCAAAGAACGAAGACTGAAATTAAGATTCTAAAGCTCTTCTTTAGGAACTGAGCTGTAACTTAGTGGGAGAGCACTTGCTCAATATACCCAAGGCCCTGGTTTCCCTCCCTGGACCACAAAGAATCCTCCTGGTCACACGTCCAAGGAGAACAATTACTTAAGAGTGTAGTTCCCTTTCTTTACCTCAAGGACACCAGAAGGAAATGTCGAAAGGGCCATGGGGCCTGCTTCTGTCAGGCAGTGATGTAAGATATCTGCTTCCTGCGTAGACTGCCCTTCCCTCCAGTGGAGTCTGCTCACAGAGGCTTGAGTAGCAGAACCACAGAAAGGGGCAATGGAGTCCACCCCAGATGAGGTCTGTGGCCCCCAGCTTGGCGATTGCCACAGAATAATCCAGGCTTCAGCTGACTGAAGGGCCCAGTGCTTCCCACATAACCTTGAGAATGTCCCTCCACAACCCCACTCCTCAGAAGCAATGACGTGTCAGAGCTTACTGGAGCAGCTGACCCAGGACTCACACCTACACAGCCACATGAATTGGTCTCTGCAGAGGCCCAGAAATGTCTCGTGGTCACCAGCTGGGCCTGCTCCCCTTGTTCATCTGTGTCATTAAGCATCCTTCCATCAGACACCTGTGAGCCAGTCAGTCCTTATTTCTCTTTGGAATAAGCCACTCAATAGATTTCTTCTCCTTGCAGGAGCTGCTGATCAAGAGAAACATGGTGAAGACTCCAAAATCAATGGTCAGTAGCGTGCTCTGTGGGAGTCTGCCTGCTTTCTGAAGCCTGCTGGGTTCCTGGGGTAGATGGATCTGTTGTATCTCTGGTCAGACTCCTGAGTCCTTTCAGAAGGCCCCACCCTTACTCAGGAGTCTCTGCCTCCTGCAGAGGGCTTTGGGGATACCCGAAACACAGGCCTGGAGTTCCTTTCTTTAATTGCTCAGACAAAGAAGAGCAGGGGAACATTTTTTGGAGAGAACCCTTCCTGAATGGGTGCTTCTCCTCTGTGAACATTGGGCCTTTAATTCTTCTGATTCATTTTGATTTAGGGGGGCTCACTATGCAGGCTTGGCTGGCCTGCAACTTTCTATGTAGATCAAGTGTAGGGATAGTCCTGCCTCTGCCTCCCAAGTGCTGGGATTAAAGGGGTGCACCACTCTGTCTGGCTTTCTACCTCTTTTTCATTTCAAATGATGAAAGCATCAGCCAATGACCAGCTAGAGCTCTGTACAGGAAAGCGCCAGTGGCGAAGGAGGGAGGGAGCTTGGTTCCTGTTCACACAGGGCCCGCCCTGCTTCCTCACACAGCATGGCAGCATCTGGTCTACCAGAAGGCTGTTTGCTGAAGATAGAAAGCCAGACTCTGCCTTCGATGCAGGTAGCTCATAGGCTGGCTCTAAAGCAGTGGTTCTCAACCTTCCTAATGCTGTGACCCTTTAATATAGTTCCTCATGTCGTGGTGACCCCAACCATAAAATTATGTGTGTTGCTACTTCATAAGTATAAATTTGCTGCTGTTATATAGCCTTTGTACTGTTATTCATGACATAAATATCTGATATGCAGGCTATCTGATATATGAATCTGTGAAAGGGTCGTTCAACCCCTGAAGGGTTGAGAACCGCTACTCTGGTGGGAGATGCCCAGGTCTAGTCCTGGGCATAAGGACCAGCACATTTCTTTGTCTCTTACAGGTGTCTTGCCGAGAGCAGACCTGACTCCCCCTCCCCTGAAGCCCAGGAAGGTCTGGGTCGTCTACTCAGCCGACCACCCCCTCTATGTGGAGGTGGTCCTAAAGTTCACCCAGTTCCTGATCACTGCCTGTGGCACTGAAGTAGCCCTTGACCTCCTGGAAGAGCAAGTTATCTCTGAGGTGGGGGTCATGACCTGGGTGAGCCGACAGAAGCAGGAAATGGTGGAGAACAATTCCAAAATCATCATCCTGTGTTCCCGAGGCACCCAAGCAAAGTGGAAAGCCATCTTGGGTTGGGCTGAGCCTGCTGTCCAGCTACGGTGTGACCACTGGAAGCCTGCTGGGGACCTCTTCACAGCAGCCATGAACATGATCCTTCCAGACTTCAAGAGGCCAGCCTGCTTCGGCACCTACATTGTTTGCTACTTCAGTGGCATCTGTAATGAGAGGGATGTCCCCGACCTCTTCAACATCACCTCCAGGTACCCACTTATGGACAAATTTGAGGAGGTTTACTTCCGGATCCAGGACCTGGAGATGTTTGAACCTGGACGGATGCACCATGTCAAAGAGCTCACAGGGGAAAATTACCTGCAGAGCCCTAGTGGCCGGCAGCTCAGGGAGGCTGTGGTTAGGTTCCAGGAGTGGCAAACCCGGTACCCCGATTGGTTTGAGCGTGAGAACCTCTGCTTAGCAGATGATCAAGATCTCCCATCCCTGGATGAAGAAGTGTTTGAAGACCCACTGCTGCCGCCAGGGGGAAGAATTGTCAAACAGCAGCCCCTGGTGCGGGAGCTCACTTCTGAAGGCTGCCTTGTGGTAGATGTCTGTGTCAGTGAGGAAGAAAGTGGAGTAGCAAAGCTGGATCCTCAGCTATGGCCACAGGGAGAGCTAATGGCTCAGACCTTGCAAACCATGGTGCTACCAGAAGAACAGGTCCCTGCAGCTCATGTGGTAGAACCTGTCCTTCTTCCAGATGGCAGTGGGGCAGCTACCCAGCTGACCATTGCAGAGGACAGTGAGGCTTGCCCACTGCTGGGGGTCCAGAGGAAGAGCATCCTTTGCCTCCCCATGGACTCAGGTGACTTGCCTCTCTGTAGCACTCCAATGATGTCACCTGACCAAGGCGATGCAAGAGAGCAGCTAGAAAGCCTGATGCTCTCGGTGCTGCAGCAGAGTCTGAGCGGACAGGCCCAGGAGAGCTGGCCGAGGCCCAAGGTGGTCCTCAAGGACTGCACGCCCTCTGAGGAGGAGCAGCGGCAGTCGGTGCAATCAGACCAGGGCTACATCTCCAGAAGCTCCCCACAGCCTCCTGACTGGCTCACAGAGGAGGAAGAGCTAGAACAGGGTGAGTCAGTTGAGTCTCTCTCTCCTGAGGAACTACAGAGCCTGAGGAGCCTCCAGAGGCAGCTGTTTTTCTGGGAGCTTGAGAAGAACCCTGGCTGGGACAGCTTGGAGCCACGGAGACCAGCCACAGAAGAGCAGGCTCCCTCCTAGGCCTGATCCTGCTACTTAAGAGGATGTATATTGTACTGTGTGTGTATGTGTGTGGGAAGTGCCCAGCCTGGAGATGTGGACACCCAAGTCTGACATAGTGTTGTATACCTGAAGTCCTAGCACTTGGGGACTGAGACTTGATGATCTCTTGAACCCAGGGGTTCAGGAAACATAGCAAGACCTCAGAGAAATAAATGCAGACATCTTGGTTCTAATCCCTAAATACCCCCCTTTACCTGATATGAACATCTATCTGGTCATCATTGCACAAGAATCCACAGCCTGTTCCCAGAGCTCACAGCCAAGTGTGTCACCCATTCCTTGAACATTTATTCTGTACCTACTATTCATCAGGCATTTGGAATTCAAAAACAAGTTACATGACACAGCCTTGGCCACTAAGAAGCTTAAAATTCAGTAGGGATGTAAAAGTAGCCAGGATTCTCCCCTGGCTGCAGAAGAACCCCCAAGAGCCTGGGGATAGGGTCTGGGCAAGAGGGGAGCTGCTTTCCTGGGAGGGGAGCAGACTGCAGATTGAGTATTAGGAAGGCGCCAGAGCTCAGGGTAGAGAGAGCTTTGTGGGGCTGGGGTGGGAACAGCTGGGGACTCCTTTCTTAAGTGGATCTGTTGCTCTGTGGGAGAAGAAACTGTGTGCCAAATATACCCAGAAGTCTTCTCAGAACAGTTTTTTAGAAAGAGTCTGTATAGAAATGGGTAATGCAAAACTTGAGAAGCAGGAAGAGGCGTGTGAAATCCTGTGCTCACGTGCTGGCTGCCAGGCCGTGGGAGGGCTTCGGCATGTGATTCTTCATGGGCTGCAGCCGCAAGATCCCAGCAGGCTGGAAGTCTAAGATCTCTCAGCTCTACCTCGGGGTACAGTGATGGAGCTAAGACAGATGTGAGGGTAGTGGGAGTGGGGGCCCTCCAAGGTCAGAGGAAAGTATGTCACTGTATAATTACTTATGAGGAGAGGTTGTTTAAAGTAGCTCCTGGGGCGCCCTCTTGGGGCAAACAGCAGCCTTGCAGCTTAGGTTCTAGAGAATGCACAGGTCTGCACGCCCTGGCTACCCACTGCCAATTGTCTAGACCTCAGTGAGAAAAGGACCATGGAATGCTGTGGGAAGAGCGAATTCAGTGGTTGTGTGTGCATATATGTGTGTGCGGACGGCAATGAAGACTTAATAAAGTTGCTGTGTTGGTAGGAGTTCATAGTTGTTATTGAGTCACCTCTTACCACAGGTCAGGAAGTTCCTATGTTTTGAGTCGTTACAGACAAATCTTGCCTAGCATTGGCAAGCCCTTGAGGTTCCAAGTCTCAGACAGTGTGTGGCCTATATTCATCCCTGCAGCAGCCAAGGGCCACGTGAGAGAGAGAAAGCCCCTCCCACACACCAGCCTTTTCCAGTTCTGTTCTCAGAAATTCAGGCAGCGAAGGTCTTTGGGTCTAGATGCCCGACAAGCCTATGACATCCCCTGCCCCAGCTTCAAATGTGAACTTAAAGATAAGTTCTCCCTTTCCGGCGGTGACGACCTCCCTACGAGAACATGCCTCTCGCAAAGGATCTCCTTCATCCCTCTCCAGAGGAGGAGAAGAGGAAACACAAGAAAAAGCGCCTGGTGCAGAGCCCCAATTCCTACTTTATGGATGTGAAATGCCCAGGATGCTATAAAATCACCACGGTCTTTAGCCATGCACAAACGGTAGTCTTGTGTGTTGGCTGCTCCACTGTCCTCTGTCAGCCTACAGGTGGAAAAGCAAGGCTGACAGAAGGATGCTCCTTCAGGAGGAAGCAGCACTGAAAGCCCCTGATTGAAGATGAGTGGGAACCTTCCCAATAAACACATTTTGGATAAAAAAAAAAAAAAAAAAAAGATAAGTTCTCCCAGCATCAGATCTGCCCAGAACTGCTCCCCATAGTGTCCTACTCATTTGGGGCTCACTACCCTCAACTTGTAGCTGCTGCCGTTAGAGCATGTCAGCACATTGGTTCTTCTCCCCACTTTCTCTCCTGAGATCTTACAGAGACATCCACACATGACACAGTTCACAATTATCCCTATGCAGCTGAGTGGCTTGGCATATTCAGAGTTCAGTGACTAACAGTGTGATCAGCTTTAGAACACTTCTGTAGTTCAGAAAGAAGCCTGGTGCTGCTCCTCATTCCTCCCCTACCTCCTCAGCCCCAGGCAGCACCAGGTCTGCTTTCTCTCTCTAGACACGTCGGTTCTAGATTTTTCCATATAATAGGATCAGAATTCTCAGGGGCTTCTTGGCTATTTCATGTTCTTTATTCCTATCCCTCCTTAGAGGTCTTTGCTCATCATGAATGTTAGAAATTCTAGAAACTGATGTCTGCTGTCAGACCAACACCAAGAACATCAAAACCATTCCTTTATGCTTGTATCATTCTGAACCATGCCTAATGAAACTGTTTTGGCCTGGCATGGTGGCACATTTGAGTCTCAACAGGAGTTCCAAGCCAACCTTAGTTATAGTAAGACCTTGTCTCAAGACAGGAAAAAAATTTTAAAAGGTGGCCCCACAGGTAAAGGGGCTTGCCACAGGGGCTTGATGTCCTAAGTTAAATCCCTGGGGCCTGCCTGCAGGGAGAGACTCTGATCTCAACACACACTTCATGTGAGTGTGTCGGCACACATGCCAGTAACTAGGACCAAGTGGACCCCTGTGTGGGGATTAGGGGTGGCTCAGCAATAGTACTTGTCTAGCACACGTGACCAGAAAAGACGGCTGAACACTTGCCGCTTTCTCCGAGGACCCAGGTCAGTATTCTGCACCCACACGGCCACCCACAACTGCCTGTAACTCCAGTTCTAGGGGACCCAGTGTGCTCTTCAGGAACCAGGCACACACACACAGCATACATGCAGGCAAAACACTCAAGTCTTTTAAGATCATATTTGTAGGGCTGGAGAGATGGCTCAGCAGTTAAGAGCACTGACTGCTCTTTCAGAGGCCCTGAGTTCAATTCCCAGCAACCACATGGTGCCTCACAACCATCTGTGATGGGATCCGGTGCGTCTGAAGACAGTGACAGTGTACTCATATACATAAAGTAATTTTTTTTTTAAAAAGGATCTTATTTGTAAGAAAAGCCCCCCACCAACAGAAGCCGCTACCGCCATGTTCTGCTTTCTTGGCTCTTTGCCTAGAAAATAGCAGAGGGCTTGGTGAGTAGGGCGCATCAGTCAGCATGTGACCAGAACGAGCGTGGGACATGCACCCTTGATCACCACTTCACTTCATTCCAGGCTCCTGGCTGCCTTTTCCTGTCTTGAGCCTAATCAAGAAACGAGGTGGGGGGGGGGGCAGGGGATAAACAAGGAAGGAGTAAGAGACGATTAAAGGTGACCTGGGTATCACTTGATATAGTGTTTCAGTCCAGATCTAGTTTCTTGGCACTGCTTGGGATGGCTCACACTCGGTCCCTTAGCCACGCTTCCAGCTGCATTGGAGCTGACATCTCTGAATGGGAGGCGAAGATGGATTTGGTTAGTTCTTACCTACCTATGAAAATGAAACCGGTAAGGGCCGGGGCTGCAGCTCAGAGATCGATGGCTCGTTCAGCCTGAGACCCTGGGTTGTATCCCCAGTCCCGGAAGAAAGACAAGAAAATGTGAAAATAAAGTAGGGACTAAGGAGGAGGACGGTATCCTGGGGATGTAGTGGACAGTTAGATGCCAGAGTATTTATTTGGACTCCCATTCGAAGTACATGGAAGAATAGGCTTTGCCCCTACCCTGGCATCTCCTGAGAAAACCTGCTTACCTGGGACCACCAGACACCCTAGGCTCCAGCCTGTGTAAGAGCAACAGCCGAGGGCTCTTTGGCTCAGTCAGTGCAAGCCTGGCGCTGTAGCTCAGGGCTTGAGTCTCACAAGTCCGATGTGTTAGACAGGAAGTTCCTTACAAAGATCGCCCCAACCCCGCTGCTCAGACGCTGAGCAGCTTTAGATCGACGGTTTTCCTAGGCTTCAGGTTGCTCTCTCTAAAAAGGGCACAGCATTAGTTCCTACCTCACAGCTGTCTGTAAGGGATGGGTGAAGTTCACATGAGAGCAACCAGGAAGTGCTGGAAACAGGTTAACCACAACCGGGCCCCTCTGTGGCTCCTCCCCCACACGGCTGCCTCTCCCCACAAGCCCAGCAGCTCCCTCCCTCAGTCTGAGCCTCTGACCTGGTTCTGGCTTGAGCAGCTTGTGGGTCCGGAGGCATTGCTTAGCCTTTTGTGCTGCTTCTTCCTGCCCTCTCCCTCTAGTGTTTGCTTTCCCGAGATTACCAAAGCCACCTCTGCCCAGTACTGGCTCACACCGAGTGAATATATCATTGTGGGAAAGTAGCCACAGGGCAGCACACTAGAGCATGCTATGGAAGAGTATGTTATGGATGCTAACACAAGGAGCTGGCCAGGTAGCACGCTCCTGGCTGTCTACATCACCGCATACCCAAGTGGCTCCCAGGACCATCTATTTGTTCCTGCTCTTTCTCCAGCTCTCTACATTGTGGCCCCAGGTCCCCACTCCAGCCCTGTTCATTTTGGACAATGAAGGTGGGTGGTCACCACATGGAGAGAGCCTTTGTCTATTATTGGAACTTGACATCCTCTGTTTCCTTGCTTATGGATGAGTAAAGGTCTTGTCCAGTCTGCCCTGTCCGCTCCTCACCTGGATACTTCTCCTAAAGGAACACCCTTGGGTTATGGGCACCTTAGTAGGAGCTAGCATCTCGGATCCTTCATCTCAGATTGGAGAAGGTGATGTAACCTTGGCCTGAAAAGGGAGTGACCACACCTTGGCAAGATGCCTCCACTGGTTGACCTTATTCTCCACTTCCACAAGACCTGCTCAGAAAGCGAAAATCAGTTTTGTATTCAGCTACAATTGAGCTTAAACGCAAGGAAAGTTGACCCCACTGAGCAGCTGACATCTGAAGGCTTCTGTGAAGGTGGCAGACTCAGGCTTAAAGCGGCTGCAGGTAGCCTTTGCTGGCTGCAGTCGACTTCATTAGCTTATCTCCCAGTGCTTCAGAAGGAGCTGAAGCCCCCCACCAGTGACTCTGTGTGTGTGTGTGGGGGGGTGTGAGCTGCCTGCATCTCAGCCTGGTGCCCCAGGGTGTGATTTTGTCCTTTTCCTTGCCATCAGTACCACGGGGTGGCCTCCCTGTCCCCACACTAAACCAGTCCTCCAGAGCCCTCCTCCAGTTTTCCCAGGCATCTCTGAGGAACTCCAGCTGACCAAAGCCATCAGGCACTGCTGGCTCCCCTGGAAGATGTGTCTAAATATGTGTGACAGGCCTGGACAGACTTAGGAAGAAACAAAAATGTGCTGCTACGTTGTCCTGGAGATGTTTTCTGTATATATACATATACATTTTGGCTTATGAGATTTATCACAGGCTTGAGAAAAGAATCGTTTTGGCATATGTCACCTTATTTAATTTTTTAAAAATGTTCTTACTTTTATTTCTTTGTGTATTTATTTTGTATGTGGTGTGGGGAAGGACATGTGCACATGCCGTAGTATGCCTGTGGAGGTCGGGAACAGCTGTGGGACACAGCTCTTTCCATCCTGAGGGCGCCTGGCTCAGTGGCAAACACCTTCACCCTCAGAGCCATCTTGTTTGTCTACTGCATTCCATTCTTTGTTTAGTTTTTCTAGACAGGGTTTCTCTGTGTAGCCCTGGCAGTCCTGGAACTCACTCTGTAGACCAAGCTAGCCTGGAACTCAGAGAGATCCACCTACCTCTGCCTCCTGAGTACTGGGATCAGATCCCCTAGGACTGGAGTTGTCTCCTGAGACTGGTGGTTATGAGCCCCATTGTTGCTGGGACTTGAACCTGTGTCTTTTGGAAGAGCAGCCAGCGCTCTTGACTTTTGAGTCATCTCTCCAGCCCCTGCAACTTTGGATGGAATCCCAATGGTCTGCCTGAGACTCACTAGTCTCCTTCCTGTGGTTTTGTTTTGAAACAATGACCTTACTTACAGCCTATGCTTCTGCTTGAGCAAAGAGCTGCATAATAAGAAAGAGTAGATGGCTTCTTGCTGAGCATGTTGCTGTAGCCCTAGCTACTGTGCAGACTGAGGCAGGAGGACTCCTTGAACCTAGGTGTTTGAAACCAGTCTGAGCAGGATAGTGAGAACCTGTCTCATATAAGCAGATTCATCTCTCCTGCCTTCCACCCTAGTAAGATACCCCTGGAATAAAAGAAAACCCAAAACAACTGGGAAATGCCTCTGTAAACAACAGAAGGTCTGAGGAGCCGGCCCAGGCCCAGGCCCCAGTCACTGCTTCCCCACATTGCATGCCAAATAATTCGCTAAGGTATGCCCACAACACCAACACCAACACCAACCTAGAAAATAATGACAAACATCACAGTGACGTTTAAGAATTCAGTGAGGAAATCAGGACAGGAATGGTCTTAAATCACACAGGAAGCTTGTCACAAGTCTCAACTTTTTATTTTCAGAACAGAGTCTGGTTTTATTTTTAAAAAGAGGGAAAAAATGTGATGAATGCTAGCGAGGTGCTGCTTCTCTGTTTCTTCTGAGCTCGAATTGCCAACTCTGCGCCCCCCACACAGGCCTACTTCCCAGGGTATATTTAACAAGAATAGTCTTGGTTGGGCAAAGCAGGGCACACCTGCTTCTTTGGGAGGCTAAAGAAGGCCCCCTAAACCCCAAAATTCTAAGCCAGTCCTGGGAACACAATGAGATGCCCACTCAAAAAAATGTTTAAAATGTGGGGTGCAAGCCCTTGGAGACAGCACAGACTGGTAAGACTTGGTGTTGGGGATGCCGTGCAGCAGGCTGACGTGGCCAAGCGTACTTGAGGCCCTGGATTAAACCTCAGCACTACAAAGTAATTAACTTGTTTTTTTTTAAAAAAACAAAAACAAAAACAAAACAGGTACCATTTTAAGCTCAGGTTTTAGGCCCTCTGCTTCCATGCTCAAAGGCTAGAAGCCGACAAGGCTAAATTCTGAGCCCCAGACTTCTTTTCCATGATCCATTCTTCGGGCACAAGCCTCAGGACAGTGTACTATTCTGGTTATGACACTTTGGGGACATCTCAAGTCTGATCCCTATCTACAGATACCCTAGAAAGCAAGAGAAGAAACAAATAGGCCTTAATAATAGATCACATGTGAATGGAACAGGGGAATGACTAAAAAGACCCAAAATAAATACCCCAGAGGAAGGGACCAGCCCTGAGTCAGAGTACTCACAGAAGACATGTTGACATGCTGGACATGTGCTGGGCCTTCACTAGGCCCTCAGCAGTCCTGACCTCTCTAACAAGTGGCCATGTGACCATGTCCAGAGTACCAGGGAAATGGCAGCCTTCTGTTCTAAATCCAGTGGCAGTCTCTCAAGCGGTAGACAGCGGTCACACAGCAGAGAGACAGCTATCCAAACAGTAGAAAGAGGGTAGGTTGGGGGCCAGCCAGAGCCAGCCATGGCTCAGAGATAATTTCTTTTCAAAGTCATTGAAATTAGGTAGCAAGAAACACAGCAAAGCTGGGAAACAGAATCAAAACACTGGGAGCAGCTACAGCCCACATCCAGGCCTTACGCCTCGGACCTTGAGTCCAGCAGAAGAGTCATCCAGGGCGAGGAGAAAAGGCAGGCTTATTGTGAGAAGCAGCTAGTCAGCACTGGCTGTGGTGGAGAGAGCAGGAGCGTAGAATGCAGACTGTAAACGTCCTCCACAGGGCCCACGCTAGCTGGGCAGGCCCACTAGTGTTCCAGCTCATCCTCCTATGTTTCTGCCCACATAGATATCCTCAGCCCAGAGCCCCAGGCAGTTGAATAAGAGGGACCCCATGCAGCCCTTGGTTCTCAGACGGTCCTAATAGAGTCACATGAGATGAGGGACTGGGGCCTGGCTGCTGAGTCACTAGTCAGTGACTTGGCACTTTGGGCCTGCCCCTGTGCTTCGGGCTTTAGAGGACCCAGCAATGGCTGTCCCTAACCTAGTTGGCAAACTTCCCTCAGCTCTCCCAGCCTAAGGCCGGACACAGTATAGCAGCAGAGCCCTCCTCAAATCCACCTGGATAGCTCCTCCCCTGGCTACCTTTACGGCAGCATTGTGACCAGAGCGTTCAAGCCCGGAACTCAAAGAATACTACCCTAGAGGCCTAAACAGTAAAATGGTATGGCATTCAAACCTAGCAGGTAACAGAGAGAACTACAGATCAACTCTTTCTGGTCCCTCATCTAGGTTCATTATGCCACATAAAACTCCCAAAACAGAAAGTGGGGAACCAAAATTCTTAAGGTTATTTCCCCCACACACACACCTAGTGCCATTGTGGGGGTGAGTATATCCTGGCCTGGCTCCCTGTGTCTTCTGAACCTTGATTGCCCTCAGAGTATATATCCTGCCTTAAAGACTCCAAGAATGACATCCCTTGTGAAGCCTCAGGAGCCAACCCTGACTTCCCTTGAAGGACAATCCTAAGGACAGCCTCTCCAGGAGGACCCTGTTGGGGAAGGCTAGGCAGGAGGTTCTGCAGTCTCCCTGATAGATCTGAAGCCGAGGAGAGGTGAAAGGTCACACCCTCTCTGCTCTGTGCCAAGCTTTCCAAAAGAGCAGGTGCTACTCCCTTGGGTCCCTAAGAGGCCTGACCTCACATACATTTGAACCCACTAAAGCAGTTGCTCTGAACCCAACTCCAACCTGGCCAGCACCAACCCAGGAAGGATAATTGTTCTGGTGCAGAGGCAGGAACCAAGGGAAAGCAAGCCAATGGCTGATACTCCACAGACCCTGTAATATCTGGCACCAAACCCCAAGGGGATCCAGTGGCCCTGTTAAATGCAACTTATGAGTGTTTTTGTTTTGTTTTGTTTTGCAAGCAGCATCAGTATGTGATGCGCTGGAAATGGAAGCACAGAGGTAGAAATATGCGTTCACCCAAGAAAGGGTGGTGTTTGGTCCTTCCACATAGACTTGCTTCTCTCCAAGCTGAGCAGAGAGGAGCAGGAGAGAAGAAGACCCTGGGTGAGCTTCTCCCTTGGAGTACAGCAACTGAGCAACTCCTGAGGATCTCAGTCATCGGTTCAGGCAGGAAAACATGGTATGTATCTTATGAAGGAAGGCCTCTCTAGATCTCCTTCTCACTGCAAGGGGCATGGGACTGACACCCAGAAAATATACCACACATACACACACACACACATACACACCAAAGCCTACCATCCCTGCCTGAACCCCTTTCTTCCATTCTCCCCCACAGGAATATGAATCAGGATGAAGGCGGGAAAAGCAGGTGGCACATGTATCCAACCCCTTGTATGTCAGGACAGGGAAGACTGTGGTGAACATGGGCCCTTCTTCCTCACGATATATTGCTGGTCTCCCTCCAAGTAGTCTCTACCCATGGGGTGCAGAAGAATCCACTGGCCTTCAGCCTTATCAACAGTTACCCCCAAACACAGCCAAGAGGGTTCGGAAACCCTAAAGCCAAGATCAGGGCCCCTGCCCTTCACTGCTTCAATTCTGAGAGGCCACAGCTAGAGTGTTGACATAGCCATGAGGGCCTCCTTCATTTTCCAAGTGGCCCCGCTGGGAGCCTCCCTGAGGTGGTGGAGGAGGAGGTGGTGGAGGAGCGGAGGGAGGAGCACCATAGCTGCTTCTGGCCCGACTTGGGGATACCCAACTCCCCCGGTCCCAGCAGCCCTCCAAGGCCTCCAGGCCACGGCAGCCAAGGAAAAAGAGGTTCTTGAGCATGAAGATGGACAGCGGCTGTTGGTAGCTCACGACCAGGAGGCTGCGCAGCGCCAGCAAGGGCACGTCCACCAGGCAGCCGCCCAGCAAACGCAAAAGGCGGCTGCAGCTTCCAGGCCCGGAGGCCTGGCCCCAGGACGAAGCTGCTGCAGTGGTGTTCAGCTCGTACAGCCAGAGCACTGGGGAGGCAAGAGTGAGGAAATAGACGGCGATGAGCAGGTAGCGCAGGTGCGCCGGAAGCGGCACGCGGCCGTCCAGCATCAGCTCCACCAGCGTGAAACTGTCCAGCAGGTCCAGGCACGTGCCCAGGAAGCAGCCTGCGGCGCGATGCTGCTGTGGCTGCAGAAGCAGGGGACCCGCCGAGCCCGGGGGCGCGCCCGCCTCGCTGATGGCACGCACTAGGCTGTAGAGCAGCGGCACGGACAGCGCCATGGTAAGGCGAAAGCCCGTGGTGCCAAAGGGCGCGCGCAGCTCGATGAGGTCCAGGATGGATGTGCCCAGGATGAGCACAACCTTAGGAGTGAACGCGATGGAGTAGATGAGCCAGGCCAGGTACGCAAAGGCGAACTCGCCCGCTGCCCCAGCCGTCCCCGGCCCGGCCCCCGAACCGCCAGAACCTCCTCGGCCCCCGCGGGCCTTGGCCCCGGCCCCCGCCGACGCCGCAGCGGATAGGTGCAGAGGCGGAGCCGAGTGGTGGTGGAGCTGGTGGTGGTTGTGCGCGCTGTTCGCTGGACCGCCCCGACGGCCGCGGCTGTTCTTGGCGAAGAAGATGGCCCAGCCCACCACCACTACCAGGTCGGTGGCGATCCAAGAGCACCAGTACAGGTCAGTGACAGCGATGAGGTACAGGTCCAGCAGACCGCCCTGCGCCAGCAGCAGCACCACAGACAGCGCCTGGTAGCCCCAGCGGCACCCGGGGCTTGGAGAGCAGCCCCGGCGCCGACCCCTGCGGCCGGAGCGAGCGGGGCGACCGCAGCAGCAACAGCAGCAGGAGCAGCAGGAGGCGGCGCCGCCGGTCCCGGTGCCGCCTGCGCCCGCCGCCGAGCGGCTCCCGGGGCCCCCGACGGTGCCGGCCGCGGCGCCCGCGCCGAAGTCCGCGGCGGTCATGCTGCAGGAGGAGGTGGGCGTGGAGGTGGAGGAGGCGGCGGCGGGCGCGGTGGCGGAGACTGGGACGCCCCCCTGAGTCGGGGGCCCCGGGAGCGCGGCGGCGGCGGGCACCAGTGGCTTGCTGATGCTAATGCTCTCGTCGTCGTCCTCTCGCTCCGCGCCTGTGCTGCTGCTCGGGGAGCCGCCGCCCCCGCCGCGTCTGCCGCCGCCCCCCCCGCGGCTGGTGCTGGTGCTGGTACTGCTGTCGCCTGAGCCTCTCCGGCCGCGGGAGGAGCCCCCCCGGAGGAAGAGGGGCTGTAGCCGGGCGGCGGCGGGGGGCGGCGGAAAGGAGGTGGGCGCGGACAAGAGCGCGCGAGGGTGGCCCAGCGCCGGGTGCATTGTCCTCGGAGGGGCTCCAGGGGCTGCCCGGCCGCTCTCTCCCCGCCAACCTCGGGCTGACGAGGCGGCAGAGGGGAACCCGGGCCAGCCGCTGCCGCCTCCTCGCCAGCTGCTGGAACTCGCACCCGGGTCGGGAGGCAGAGAGATCCGGACTGGAGCGGCCGGACTGGGCGAGCGGAGTCGCGGGTGGCTGGGCTGGGGGAGAGCCGGGGAGCCGAGCAGACCGCCGGGACTGGAGAGGCGGGGGCGGAGGAGGGGAGCGAGCCCAGCAGGCAGCAGAAGGAGCTGGCAGCGGGGAAACCAGGACTGGATTCGAGGGAGAGAGGAGGCGAGAATAGAGGAGGAGAAAGCCTGGCTGGCTGGATCAGCAGGAAGGAAAGGAGGGAGAACCGAAGCGCAGGAGGTAGAGCTGAAAGCGCATCGGGCCAGGCAGGACAGGAGCACAGGTTTCCTGAAGTCGCTAGCTCCACAGCCCAAAAGGCAGAACCTGAATCGTTGGGTGGTCTTGGTCTCAGTGTAGACCACATCTTCGTGCCTCCGAGCACCATGATGGTTTCTGCACAATACCTATTAGGAGGAAGCGCGGGCCAACTTTCTCCTCTGTGCGCCACCGACCATCCCACCATTTCCTTCCGTGAGCCCCTGAGAACTCAATGGAAGTGATTAAAAAGTTAAATAAAAAAAGAGCCAGAAGACGACTAGGGATGATGTGTCGAAATTGATAGAATGATTGCCTTGTATGCACTCTGTCCTGGATACCAACTCATCTCCAGAACAAACAAACAAAACACCCTAAATTCTGTTATTCAGAAGGAGCACCCCCAAGCAAGCACTGTGTATTCACACATCCAAAACTGTCCTCCCTCGGGAGATCTTCGGGTTCCAGTAAAAGGCTCCCTGAATATAATTGCTGAGAAGAGACTTAGGAAAGGGGGTGGGGTGCAAGTACCATTGTCTAGTCGTGGGGCAGGGGAGGCCAGGGCCAAGGCATGAAGCTGCTCTGGAGACCTGGGGTGGGGCAGATGCTTACTTAAACAGGCTCATCTCTAGTATTCTGGAAGGTTTGTACCTAGCATGCATCCAGCGCTGGGTTCCTCACCTAGCATGTATGCAGCGTTGGGTTCCTCCCCAACACCCCATATCTGATTCCAGGTCTGAGGAGGTAGAGCAGAAAGATCAAAGTCATCTTCAACTACATAGCAAGTTTGGGGCCAGTTTGGGCTATGTGAGACCCTGTCACAAAGCTAAAAAGCTAAAGCAAGAGATGAAATAACAGGAAAATATGTCTGATGAAGAAGAGGGGGAAAGGAGCTTTAGAGGAATGTATGAATAGACTCCAGCTGACCCTGGCAGCCCAGGACAGCTCCTCAGTAACCACAGGTACTCAGGAAGCTGACACAGGAGCACTGATAGTTCAAGGCCAGCCTGGACAGTTCCATGGTCTGAGGCTGCCCTCCACCCACCCCCACTCCCCCTTCCCCCCAGGGCAGGAGGTAAGTGGTACTTTTAGAGGTAGGAGAACAGAAAACTACAATAGTGTTTGGGGAGCACGAAGGTTCTGGGGCTTCTTCTGTGTAATTCCACTCCTGGTCCATAGGAGCAAGTTAGGAGCTTGCCTGAGCCTTCCTCCTTCTCCTGCAGGCTCTGTCCCCTGCCCTGACTCCTCACTGTCTCAGAGTTGCTGCCTCAGTTGCCTGCCAGGGTGGGATCACCATACTGCCGGCCATAGCCTTATCCCTTTTGTTGTTGTTGTTGTTGTTGTTGTTGTTGTTGTTGTTTGGTTAGTTGGTTTTTATTTTTTTGAGACAGGGGTTCTTTGTGTAGCCCTGTGTGTCCTGGAAATCAAATCTCTCTCTCTCTCTCTCTCTCTCTCTCTCTCTCTCTTTCTCTCTCCTCTCCCCCCGTGTGTGTGTATGTGTGTGTGTGTATGTGTGTGTGTGCCAGACTGCCTTCAAACTCACAGAGATCCTCTTGCCTCTGCCTTCTGAGTGCTGGGATTAAAAGCATGGACCACCATACCCAGCAAAGAGAAAAAATTTTGAAGAATCGGTCTCAGCCAAACTTGCTTTTTCTAGCTGCTTGGAGGTCTGTCTGGACAAATCCATGGCACACATAAAATGTAGAATTTATGACTTACATAATCTTCAAATCCCTCATCCTGCAGGGCACAGACAACCTTTCAAAGGTCCTATGCCCAATTGTCCAGAAGGCAGAGCAGGCGTAAGGATGGGGACCCATGGCTCCAGCTCCAGCACACAGTCTGTGGGGGCTGAGGCCAGTTAGCTCACCTCTCTGAGTTTCATACTGTGATCTGTGAAAAAGAACCAGCACCTCCTTGAAGGAAATACTGTGTTGAGAGACCATGTGTGTAAGCAGCTTAGCCCAGAGCTGACACAGAGTGTAGACTCAGTTAAAGAATCTGGCGTTCAACTACTCAGCCTCCCAGAGGCACTTACAGTGTGGGCCACTGACGGCTGTCACCAGGTTCTTTGTCAAGCCTGCAGTCAGAGGTCTCCCCTAAAGCTTACACTTCAGCTAGTACCAGGGAGCAAAAGTGTTACTTTAAATCTGATCTTTTTGTTTGTTTGTTTGTTGTTTGTTTTTTGTTTTTTTTCGAGACAGGGTTTCTCTGTATAGCCCTGGCTGTCCTGGAACTCACTCTGTAGACCAGGCTGACCTGAACTCAGAAATCCGCCTGCCTCTGCCTCCCAAGTGCTGGGATTAAAAGCGTGCGCCACCACCGCCCGGCCTAAATCTGATCTTCACAGGTCTCTTGGTATGAGAGCTTCAGCCATGCCAACTGGTGCCAAGGCCACCCTCTTGAGACAGGGTGGAAATGACAGCTTTGAAGATGTAGGCTCCAATTGTACACGTCCCACCAAGTCCAGCAGATGTCTGGGTTAAGCCAGTCCAGATAGAAAGAAGGCTTGGGAAGTTGCCAGCTTCTAATGTGAGTGATTATAGACCAGTTTCCTGGTCTTCCCCAGGGAAAATGCTAGCCAGCCGTGGACATGGAAGCTGGCCTGAGATCCTTTGTTAAGACAATGAAGTGGATGAAGAGTTAAAGGCAGATGGAAAAGGCTGAACTCAATGAAAAAGCATCAGGACTCCTGAGAACACAGAAGAACCAGTCTTCCCATCCCTGGTGCCTCTGCCTCAAACTCACCCATCCGGCTGAATCCTCTCATTCACCAGAACCAGATTATTTTACTTTAACTGTCCATTGAACTGTACTATCAGCCAGTGGGGTTACCACTCTTTTTATTTTATTATTATTAACTTATTTTATGTGTATGGGTGTTTTGTCTGCACGTCTCTCTGTGTACCATATGCGTGCTTGGTACCTGCAAAGGTCAAAAGAAAGTGTTGGAGCCCCTGGGGCTGGAGTTACAGGTGGGTGTGAGCCATTACTTGGATGCTGGGAATCAAATCTGAGTTCCCCAGGAAAGAAGCCAGTACTCTTAACTGATGAGCTATCATCTCTCCAGCCCCTACATAGAGTTGATTTTCTTTAGCTGAATTTCCTGTAGAGCCCAGGCTCTGAGTAACAAGCACATCAATAATAAGTCAGGGTAACACTGGATAACTGTGGAACAAGTTGGTTGCCAGAGTACTGGTGGCATGTGGCATCCTTTAGTCTTCTTTACGCACGCACACATGCGCACACACGCACACACACAGAGAAAGAGAGAGAGATGGTGGGGTGCATTTAACTGTAAAATCTAAAAAGGATCTAGAAAGGGAAAGAAAACAGTCACAGTGCTGCTTATAAGCACTCGTTGGGGGGGGTGTTCTATGCTGGACACCTTCCATACAACACTTAGAGAGAACCACCCCAACCTATCCGGGTCCTATTATCAGTGAAGAAGTGCAGATTACCTAGACCTCTGCCCGTCAGCCTGGCTGCCAGCTCTCTTCACAAACCCAGATGTGAGAAACTCAAAGACATGGGAGGAAGGGGTCAGTCAGAGCCATTCCCCCAAGCAGTCCTCACGTCCTAGACACTGGATAAAGTTCCTCTGCCAACAACACCTTGTGCTTCTGACCTACAAAGCCAATGGCTCACGGCCTTCCTGAAGACCAAGAGACAAACCAGGAGGAAGAAGTGGCCTTGTCCACCTCAGCAGGAAGGTCCAGTGGGGCAGGGCAGCCTTTGCTTGCACTGACCATGGCCCTGTTCCCAGATTCTTTCTCTACTCAGAGTCACTGCCTCTCACCTTTAAAGCAAGAATGAAAGGTTCAAAGGGGGCTGCCAGAGCACGTGAGGAGGCCTCAGAGGCCTCTTGTGTGAACATGAGAACAGACAAGTGAAGTTCACCGGTTCTCAGTCACAATCAGCACGCACGGCGCTCAAAGAGCAAACCTGGCAGGAGAGCGAGACCAAAGCAGAAGATTCAGCTCATTGAAGACTTGAAGTCTCAGCACTGCTCAGCACTCTGAGAGAACAGAGGCTGCATCTCCACAGACACAGAGCTCTTAAACAGCCCATGGTGTGCCCTGAGCTGCCCAGTGAGTCTCATGGTGATGCCACCATCCACAGGGACAGTCTCCCAATGCTTCAGCCCAAGCTAGGTGCTGGGGCTCCATGGATTTTCTTTGAAAAGTGGACGCAGCCGGGCAGTGGTGGCACATGCCTTTAATCCCAGCACTTGGGAGGCAGAGGCAGGCGGATTTCTGAGTTCGAGGCCAGCCTGGTCTACAGAGTGAGTTCCAGGACAGCCAGGGCTACACAGAGAAACCCTGTCTCAAAAAAAAAAAAAAAAAAAAAAAAAAAAAAAAAAAAGGAAAAGTGGACACAAGTTCCTCTTAGGAGTAGGGAAGCCAGCAAGCACTGAACGGTGTGGATAGTAGACTAAGTTCTGTGTCCCCATCACCTGAGCTCTGAGTCAGGAGTCAGGCAGTAAGGCCTGCCTAGGCGAGAGCCACTCTGAAGGAAAGGGTGTTGACAGGAAACTGGGCTTGGGAGGTGGGATGGGAGTAGAGAGTATCCCAGAAGCAAG